AGGGAGAGAGAGAGAAGGAGAAGACAACCCGCCAGGTCCAGGACTCGAACTGTGGTCGGCCATGTGGGAATCCAGCGCCTTTAGCCACCACGCCACCTGCCGGCCCGGAAAGTTCGTATTAATAGGTCAAATATATATCCAAAATGTTATCAACATGGGTATCCATTAATACTAAGGTTTTCTTCCCCCCTTTGACCAGAAAAAAACAATTCAGAAATTACTCTTAATTTAGAAAAAAGGTTTGTGGGTATTTGTCAGGATAGGAAGGAAAGAAAATAAAATCACAAGAATAATAAGTAGTTCATTTTAAATAACAGGAATATTTGAATGGGCAAATACTGAGTGAATCCACTATGCAAAGACTTCTGCTAGGCCCAAAAGTGAAACTCTCCCAAATTCATTCTATGAAGCCTCCATCACCCTTATCCTTAAAACAGATAAGGACAGGACAAGAAAAGAAAACTACAGACCAATATCTCTGATGAATATAGACGCAAAAATTCTCAACAAGATACTAGCAAATCATATCCAACAACACATAAAAAAGATAACACATCACGATCAGGTAGGCTTTATCCCAGGAATGCAAGGTTGGTTCGACATACGTAAAACCATAAGTGTAATACACCATATAAACAGAAGGAAAGAGAAAACTATACAATCATATCAATTGATGCAGAAAAAGCATTTAATAAGCTACAACATCCCTTCGTGATCAAGACTCTCAGCAAAATCGGCATAGAAGGGTCATTTCTCAACACAATAAAAAGCTATTTATGAAAAGCGCACAGCTAACATCATCCTTAATGGAGAAAAGCTGCAAGCTTTTTCACTAAAAACTGGTACAAGACAAGGATGCCCACTTTCTCCACTCCTTTTTAATATGGTACTGGAAGTCCTCACCAACACAATCGGAAAAGAGAGTAAAATAAAAGGCATTCAAATAGGAGAAGAAGAGATGAAGATGAACTATCTCCATTTGTAGATGACATGATTGTACACATAGAAGACCCAATGGTAACCAAGAAAGAAATGACTGGAAGTAATAAATGAATACAGTAAAGTTGCAGGATACAAAATCAACATACAGAAATCTATATGAACAGCAGGCAGACTGAGATAAAACTGAAAAAAAGTAATTTGATTTACCATAGCTACAAAAAGTATAAAATACCTAGGAATAAATCTAACCAAAGAGTTAAAGACCTCCACAAAGAAAACAATGAGAAGCTAAAAAAAGAAATTGAAAATGATACAAAAAAGTCGAAGGACATCCCATGTTCCTGGATTGGAAGAATTAATATAGTCAAAATGGAAATTCTACACAAATTAATCAACATATTTAATGCAATCCTGATCAAAATGCCAGAAACATTTCTTCACAGATCTAGAAAAGACAATCATACAATTTGTCTGGAATCATAAAAAACCTCATATTGCCAAAGTAATTCTGCACAAGAGTGGAGTGGGTGGCATCTTACTCCCTAACCCAAAAATATACTACAAAGCTTTGGTAATCAAAACAGCATGGTATTGGCACAGAAACAGACAGGTAGATCAATGGAAAAGAATAGAGTCCCCAGAAATAAACTCCCAAACATACAGCCAACTGATTTTCGACAAAGAGCAACAATCAATTCAGTGGGAAAAGGAAAACCTCTTTAGCAAATGGTGCTGGAAAAACTGGATATTCACCTGCAGAAAGATGAATCTGAACCCCTACCTCTCACTATTGACAAAAATCAACTCAAAGTGGATTAAAGATCTAAACCTAAGACCTCAAACTATAAAACTGCTGCTGAAAAACACTGGGGAAACTCTGGGAGACACTGGGGTAGGCAAAGACTTCTAAAATAAGACCCCCAAAGCACAGCCAATAATCCCAAAAATAGACAAGTGGGATAACATCAGATTAAGAAGTTTCTGCATGGCAAAAGACACGATAATTAGTGAATCGACAGCCCTCAGAATGGGAAAATATTTTTATAAACTCTGTGTCAGATAAGGGATTGAAAATCAGAATACACAAGGAACTCAAGATGACCAACCCTATTAGAACTGGGAGAATGAATTGAAAAAGCCACTCTCTGGGGAAGACATATGACTAGTCAAAAGACATATGAAAAAATACTCGACATCCCTCATTGTAAGTGAGATGCAGATCAAAGCCACAATCAGATAGATACCACCTAACTCCAGTCAGAATGACTAAGATGAAGGAAGGAAGGAAGGAAGGAAGGAAGGAAGGAAGGAAGGAAGGAAGGAAGGAAGGAAATGATAAATGTTGGCAGGGGTGTGGTAAAAGAGGAGCTCTCCTACATGCTGGTGGGAATGTAATTTGGGCCAGCCACTATGAAGATTAATTTGGAGATTCCTCAAAGGTCTACAAATAGAACTACCATATGATCCAGCAATTCCACTCCTGGGTATCTACCCAAAGGACAGAAGAATTCTTAATTGAAAAAGTGCTTGCATGTTGATGTTTATTGTGGCATTATTCATAGTTGCTAAGATGTGAAACCAACCCAAATGCCCACAAACAGATGAATGGATTGAAAAAGTGTGGCACATATACTCTATGGACTACTACTCAGCCATAAAAACCAATAAGACCCTGGCTTTTGACAGAAAGTGGATGAATATGGAAGATTTACTGCTGAGTGAAGCAAGACAGGCTATGAAAGAGAGACACTGTATGTCTCCACTTAATATATAGCAACTGTCCACACTCTATGGCCAAAACTGAATGACTAAAGGATATAGA